GATATAGAATTATGCATATGTAAGGGACTGTTTCCAAAAATGGAAAGACGTGAGTGGGACCACTGAGTTTGATTCAGTACATGAGTGATATCTCTACAAATAGAAATGATAAGAGGTTCTTATTTTATATTTTAGCTTATCAATATTGGTAATTTGAGTTCCTAATTCATAAAAACTATAGAATTTGTATTTTTACATCACAAACATCTAATGTAAACCAGTGCTGCATTCAACATACCACGTGACACACAAAAATCAATGTTTAGGTATTTTTTTTATATTTACTTTTAAATTAAGAAATTAAATAATATATAATACTAAAATTTGAATTTTATTCTACAGTTTGATACCAAATTTAATGACATAAATTCATAAAAATAGTAGTTCAATAAGATTTAAATGCGAGTCATCAAACATGATGACATAGCCTTTGACCCATGACTCATGCATGTGGTGATTTTTATGGACATCAATTTGTTTTATCACAATCCCTACTAGCAAGTACTACCTTACTTAATAATTAGAATGCATTGTTTTATTGGTTGGGTACTCTTGCTGTTAAAAACATTTACTGCAGTAAACCCAATATATTTTATGAGGTTCGACCAGCTGGTGAGATTTAGGTTAGTCCTTCTTATGTATATTAAGCTAACAATACAAAATAATCTTTATAATAAAAGTATGATAATAAAAAGAAAATTAAGAAGTAAGAAAAGTAGATATATTAAACATTCTAACCAATACTGTTAATGAAAGTAACAACAGAGAAATAGTAGAATATACCTTACAGAATACATGAACACTAGCTGTTGGCTTCAAATCTTGTTGCCAATTTAATGTTCATTAAACAACATAACATTTCTATAACCACATAAAAGCAAAACCTTACACATTCCTCCTTAAAAACATCTGGTGATCAATTAAAACCCTCTAAACAGCTTTAATAGTGTAGCTTTAGAGGAGCATATGATATGAGATAGATTATGATGACACGTTACCGTTTAGGTGTGGAGTCAAGTAGTAGAACATTACCAAGAGTACAGTCAAAATTAATGTTGATGAAGATAATAAATAAGGTATATGTAAGTTATTCAATTAATGGCTGGAATATTGGTTTCCTAATGAAAATATATCAATTTTAAATGTAATACAAGGAAAACTTAATTATTTTATGAGGTATGTCTAATAAAACTCGCTAACTAACCTCTGCTACTTGACAGAACACTTGGAGTAGGCAATAGGAAGCAATAGATAAAAGTTAAATTCTCTGTAAAAGCTAAAACATAAATGCAAGAAACCATGAGAAAGTTCAGTAACAATAAGGCTTAAAAAATTACAACTGTTAGGAATACAGCAAAGAAAATAGTTTGGTAAAAAATTTATGTAACTTAAGTGATGACACAATGTCATATTATATGTGGAACTATTATATAGATGGTATCAACTATACATAATAAGAGGTTAAATTAATAGATGGTGAAACCAATGGTGGTCATTGTACTAAAGTGATCCACTATTACCCTAAACAATTTTCAAAAGAGTTAAGGTGAAGTCAGTCATGAAAGTTTTTGAATGTCCTGATACTAGGTAAAACTTCTAAATCCGTAATCAGTAGCAAGAATATTGTTGAATTTCACACAGAATTGAATGAAAAGTGAGTGAGTTTATGAGCTCTATCCAAGAAGTCTTGTAATGTTGAACAAATTCAGTTGTATCTAATAATTGGTGAGTAGTAGGCATTGTAATAAAACTTATTTGGAATATGCATATGGAAATAGAAAGATTATATCTTTAAAGTTGAAAGTATCTGTTTTAACAAAAACTTTGAACTTGAAAGTTTGATATCTAAATCCAGATGTGCTTGTTTTTAGCATGTTAGTAGATATGTGCGACTCAGTATGGGTATTTTTGCTCATAAGATTAGAATCTGTGATGTAGATAGATTGTATAGGATGTCTAATGTATTAAATTGATATAGCTGTAACTGTTCTGAACTGTAAAAATTCACAGTTTGTTTCTTTGATCCTACTAAGTTTAGATAAGAAATGTCATCACTTTGTACACAGA